TAGGCTAAGGAAAGGAGAGAAGAGGTTTTAGTGGTTAAGGAGATCTCAGACATGCTGTGATACCATGTGAGAGCTAGGATTCATGATTTCATTAGCTGAAGTCTTGGGAATAAATACCCAATTTGTACAACAGAAAAACTAACATGATCCCACGTAGGCTGTAATGTAGGAGTGACCTAACCACTAAGTGAAGTAATTAAATACAAAAGTAATTAATCAAAAGTTGTATCCTTATCAATCTGAAGGTTATGAACAACTTTGGTTTCTTGCCACTCCCTTACTTGAACTCGAAATGTATGAAACAATACTATTACAAACAAGGATTTGTCTGGATTTGGTGGCGGTGGGGCTTCGTTGGAAGCGGTTTGGTTCGATTGGTGTTGCGATGTGTGGTTGGGGTGTTGGCTCTTTTCGTTCGTGAGGTGTTTGCTATGGATGTTGGCTGTTGGTGTTGGCTTGTGTTGTCTCTTGTCGTTGCCTGGCTCTATCGCTCGTCTGTTGGTGGTTGTTCTTCAGGCTGGGGTCAGCGATGTCGGAGACTTTGCTGCTTGGGGTGGGGCTCTTCCTCCGCTTGTGTGTTGGGTTTCTTCGTTGTGGGGTTTGGCGGTGGTGTTTTTGTTGGTGTGGGGTTGGCGCTGTTGTTTGGATTTGCGATGATGATGATGATGATGGTGGTGGTCTCTAGTGGTGGTTGGTATGTGCGGCGGCTTTCTCCAACGACTTCTTTTCGTGTGGTGGTGTTGGTTTTTCCATGGGCTTAGGGTTTGTGAGGGGTTTGGTTTCTGTGGAGTTGTGTTTGGGTTTGCGATGATGATGATGGTGGTGGTGGTCTCTGGTGGTGGTTGGTATGTGCGGCGGCTTTCTCCAACGGCTTCTTTTCGTGTGGTGGTGTTGGTTTTTCCATGGGCTTAGGGTTTGTGAGGGGTTTGGTTTCTGTGGAGTTGTGTTTGGGTTGCGCTTGTTGCCGTTGGGTTTTTGTGTGGGCTAGAGTTTCTTTTATTCATTTGTCAGTTGTGTGGAGCATTTTTAACTTGTTTTGATCCGTGTGTTTTTAACTATCACCAAAACTAAACGACCCAAAACTCCTTTAGACTTTAGAGCAAACTCCTTTAGACTTTAGAGCAGGATACGTAAGATATCATTTGTAGTTGATACATATATTGGGTAATGGGGATTCTTTCCTAAATGCGTATAGTGACGATAGGATAAGTTGATCAAACTTTAAAATAGAACATATATTAGGGAGTAAGGAAAGAACAAAGAAGAAAGGATCTATGGGAATATTCAGGGTACAATGCGCTTAGTTGATTCTCCACCTAGTTTTAATTAACATATGCATATATGTGTTGAAGTTGGATGATGCCAAGATAAGGCCAAGATAAGTAGTTCTTTTCATATCCACCTAAAAGTGTACCCTTCAGCTTCAAACTACCTCCACATATTAATGTTAGCGGTGGCGATGAGAAGACCGATGTGGCCAAATTAAATTTGCCTGGATTAATGGTTTTAGGGAAGGGGGAGATGGAACAAAACAGAAATGTGTTAGGTGTCTGTGTATTTCAGCAGCATTTGGTTGAGAATTCGACATGCAACAAGTTTTAAGATCAAACCAGATTTCCGGTTGCATTGGGGATTTGGGAACCAAGAAGCGGCTGAGTTGGGTGAGAGTCTGAGGTCCTCTGCTCATCTCCTAGAGATCCAACAACGAATTCAAATGGAAAATCACTTGGATTGATAAATTTGAGTTAAAAGGTCGTATTCTTTTTGGAAAATTCTTAACTCAAATCTTAATTGGATACAAAAGGCCCAATCATTCGATAGTTTGTTATTAATGGACTCACCTTCCTTTTTCTTAATATTAAATGTTCTTAATTATGCTAAATAAATTAAAATTTAAAACTTAAAAAAATATGAATTCACTAATAGGAAACTGACATGTGTCTAGTTGGAGCTTCTGTGTCCAATTAAGATTGGAGCTAAAAAAATTATTTTTTTAGGGTAACTGAACTTTTCTGTAGTTTAGTTAAATTGAATCAAACAAAACTTTTTGACTCAGTACTAGTTAAAAAAATACATTTTATGATTTCTATTTCTTCCAAAAACCAAACTAATTCGATCTAGTTTAACCGAATTGGACCGAGCTCCATCCCTATTAGGGGTGGAACTCGGTACCAAATACCGAAATCTCAAATACTGAATTACATCCTAAACTCAATCCCAATCTCAATCCCTAAATATTTCGTATCCCAATCGGTACTTCGGTATCCCGATCGGTATTATCGAATACGAAATTAATTATCTTGGCAATTAATAATTAAATATATAAATTAGATTTGATTGTTTAATTTAGGGCAAAGAGACTAAGCGAAGAGTCTTGAGTTTGCCAGGAGCTAGGATATGGATAAGGAGAATGGAGGAGAGGTGACATCTCAAATTCTTGTCATTGGTAATCTTTAATTTGACGAATTGGAGGTTGAGAGACGACTAATACTAGTGTTTGTCTTTTGGTGTTATGAAAATAACAAAAGATTAGGCGAGAGAGACGAGAGTGACTTAAACTAGAAAGTCAAAATTGAGTTGGATATAGACTTCTAAGTTGTGAAAGAGTGAGGAATGACCAAATGTTGTATGCTATATTTCATTAAATTTTCAATTTTCGGTATTTTTCGGTATTTCGGTATATACCAATCTCAATCTCGTAATCCCGAATACCGAATAGCACTTCAAAATGAATCACAATCCCTAAAAAATAAACCGATATTCAGTAATACCAAATATTGATAAATTCGATATGATATTCGGTATATCCCAAATACCGATACCAAACTTCCGACCCTAATCCTATGGCTAAGAATAAGTAACCCTTCTTTTCGGAATTTGACACTCTTTGCAGAAAACATGTGGCCACCCAATTCTCAGTATTGTATATGCTTAGCTTAGAATCAGTCGCATTCATATATCATGTCAGCATCTCTGCAATCCAATTTGGTTCTCTATTATTTATTCCCAAGCCATGCACCTTGGCGACTAGAGTATGGTTGATAAAATGTTTGTATCTGATTCTAGGGTTTGATTAGCCAATTGGCTAACTTTCGGCCACCCTTTCACATCCGAAACAAGCTAAGTTAGTTTCCTCTCCCAAATTGGATTTTTTATATGCTATTTGTGCAATTTTTAAGCTTATATTTGTAGAGAGTGAATAGGGACTAACACTTATACTAACACTTTCATTAACGACATTATAGTATTTATTTCTTCAACCTTTCCTTTTCCCTTCCTCTTCCCATTTCCATTCCCCTTCCATTTAAGTAGTTTTTCTAGGTTTCATTTATAAATTACAGTTTTGGTACCTGAACTTAATGGGTACTAATATTTAGTACCTAATTTTTTTTACATTCGATTCCTATAAATATGGATGGAAAATTATATTTTAATAGCTTAAATTTTTTTTCTTACATTTTGGTACAACTTTTTCAAATTTACAAACAGATCCACTACTTGTGGCAGGCTTTGATGTTGTGGCATGCTTTGAGAAGGTAGTGGCTGCTTTGAGGTTGTAGCATGCTTGGAGAGGTTGTGATCTGGTTCATGGTCCCCCTCCATTGCTCCCTCTCCTTCCCCAATTTTTTCATAATACCAAGCATGTCCCTCCTTCTCTTTTCCCCTCATTAATTGTGGTCAACTCATTTAAATGAAAAAGTCAGTCAAACGAATTTTATTGCTGGAGCTAGTATTAGCACCATGCTAACAAAAAAAGTGTTAGCACCCTAACCCCTCCCTATTTCTAGTTACCTTGTCTTTTGTTCTTTATAAAGTACTTCTGGTTTCGTAGATAATGGTAATATTAATTCGTTCCCTAGATCTCTTCGTTTTGACTTGTGCTAGTTTTATTTTTTCTAATAATAGTTTTATTTGTAATATTTTTTTATAATAGTTGAATATATAATTATATTTTAGTGTAGGATAAATTATATATTTCATTCATTAGCATGTTAATTGCTAGGATCACTATAATTAACTTCACAACAGAACACGATCCACTGGTTCACAACTTTCACCACAAAAATTAAGAAAAAATACTTTAACGTGTAAGATCATCTAACCTCAACCACTATATTTATTTATGCTTCATTTTCTTCGGTTCTTAGTCTCTTTGTTAGTTTTATGTGGTTTACTACAGATTATCACATTAATTATTAACTTGAATTTAATAAATAAAAAAAATTGATTGCTTTTGTGAGATATTTTAAATACTTTATTAGAATAGATGACATGGATTTAATTTTTTTTTTACGGATAGTGATAATTTTACTCATAAATTGATGTATTATATGTGTATTTTATGTTTTAACCAATAGTACTATAACGATTAACCGTTGAACCAATAACTACTAACTTCATCCTTTACGTTTAGCTACTAACTTCCTCCTTTACCTTTTTTTATCAAACTAATTCTTTACTTTTTTTATCAACTAATTGTAAAAAAAAAATCCATGGAAGAAAAAAAAGAAAGCAAAAGTAGAAGTAGAACATCGTGAAGAAAGCTGATGGAAATTAATGAAAAGTAGAATGAAAAAATTGATCCAAATCTATCTCCATCTCCTACCCGGAAGCCATATCTGATGAAGTTAACTGTCCCGCCGGTCAGCTATATAAATGACAGTCAGTCATCTTAGCATTACCCTTATGCTACAGTAACACAGTTGCAACTTTAATTAGTTTTGAGGAAGATTATCCATAATTGTCCAACTGAGAGGTATAAAGCTAATAACTAAAAGGGCTGCTGCTGGGCTTGACTCCTGCGCCCTTTGCCCTTGGCCTTTTCTTCCCTCTATTTTAGCTGCTATCGGCTTGGAACCTATTATCTGTACTGATACTCTTTTGCTTTCTGTTCTAATTTATATCACCCATATCAAAAAAAAAAAAAGCTAATAACTAAAAGGGTGTATTATAGTAGCCAATAAGCCAAACTGTAAACATAACATTTTGAATTTATTAATCCATGAAACTTTCTTAGACCAATATCCTAATCTAGACACATACCTCACTTGGTACATGCGTTTTCCTTTCCCCGTTTTTTGTAAAGCAAAGATGATCTAAATCTTAAAACACCCCAAAAAAAAACCCCACAATGGATCTCAATCAATTTTCATGGTCTCTCTCTCTCACACACACACAAACACAAAATTCCTCCAATGTTGCAGTTGCACTAATGAACTTCAATTGCACTTCAATTGCAGCCTGGTGATGTGATTTTTTCAATAGTAGCAACCAAATGACGTTCAAGCTGATCTCCATCAATCCACTCATGCATTTCTGCCTTGACCACCACTGGGTTCTTGCTAATCAAACCCAAGAGGGGGAAGTTCTTCCTTGGCATCAGGAAATCCGATTCCTTCAGTTTCATGCTTGGACAGTAGTCTCCAATTCCATCTCCCACATAGATGAACTTCTTGGTGCTTGCCTCTTTGGCTATGGAAGCTTGGATCCTTTCCATGATTAAACCCTGGAATTAATGTTTGGGAAACGGAATAAAAAGATGAATTAACAATGGGATTTGGTTTCTCAATCACAGTATAAGCGCACAGTTGTATGTTCATATTATCTCGCCCTCTTTCATAAATTGTTGGAAAAGATAAGGGCAGTTTTAAATGTATACGTTGAGGTCTTCCATATCTATTTTTACACAAGTTTTTTCAAATTCATCAACCAATGCGGTCTTCTATACGATGAATAAAAAACTTTAATTCACTGTGACCAAGAAATTCGATAACCCATAAATCATAATGCATAACTTATATTATCATCTGAACTATTTTTTTTTTTTTTTTTTGTCATTGTATCTAAACTTGAGTTAATTCCCGATAATTACCTTGAATATAGAAATAGCAAGTTTGTTTATATCCCAATAAGAAAAAAGATAATATTAATATCACATGGTTTGCTGCTTTGAGAACAGCAACTATTTGCTTCCGGACAAACAAGTCTATTGACCATGTCTCTCACTTTAGAAGAATAATTTTTTGACAGGAAATATGTGAAGAAATCTCTTTCTATTTCTATAAAATACTTTACAAATCTAATTATAAATCTTTTTTTTTTTGTCTGTGTGTGTGGCAGGAGGCTTTGGGGGAGGGGGATCATGTGATAGTAACTAGTACGAATTGAACAATCTGGAAAATCTTAATAAAATAGAACCATCTAAGATAATATAAACAATATTTGCTGGCAAAATTAAATAATGATCATCAAAATGTAACCTGAATAGTACTCTTTCCATAAAGGAGGATTAAAATGCAAGATATAATTTTCCCAATGTAGTTCGCTTGAGTTGAGCAACTTCTAATCTCTTCTTTCTGTCGAGCAACATGATTATAAATAACGAAACAAAATACCTTGCACATATTTGGAGGGCAGAGGGTGCAGCCATGTGAAGCTCTGGTGAAATCATGGTAAGGTGAGATCCTTAGTCTTCCTTCTTCATCAACAGATCCTGAGTTAGTGTTGATTTCTGAGAAGTAACTCCTCACACCAAGGTGCTCCAGCACCGTCTCAATGAAGAACAAATTTGCATCACTCAAAACCCTCAACTCACATCTGCAAAATGATTGATAGAGAAGATGGGTAATGTTAGATTGAAAAAAAAAAATCTAATTAAGAACATTACATTGCTCTAACAAGAAAGGAGAGTGATAGTTTATCTTGTTACCCCAAAGCATGAGCAGATTTGATGGCCGAAATGACATTTGACACGACCGGAACGCGTTTTAAAGCTCCAATGATATCATCAATGGTTTTCCCCTGCTGATGCATCTCCCTCGTCATCTTGTCCTGAAAGTAAGAGAACACGACAGAAAATTAATCCGTTATAATACCACGTCATTATTAATCCGAAAACGAAGATGATGAAAATGAGGATTGAGGACTATACCATGACGGAGTTCCAAGGCATGGTGGGGAGGAGGTGATTGGCCAAATCCGTGAAACCAAGTTCGCCGATCACCCAATTATCGCTGTCCACGTCGACAATCGTTTGATCGAAGTCGAAGATCACCACGATTCCGGCCATTATGCTGTTGATGCAGTGATCGGACTGTTGGAAACTGGCAACAAGGAGGGAAGAAAGGGAGAGTTAAGTTGGAGATGTACATTGAACCGATGCAGCCAGGGGCACTACTTATATATTGAGATCTGGGAGTCGTGTGTTGAACAAACAAACAAACAAAAAGTTCAATCCAGGGAAGAAATTAAAGAAATAATTTACTATACATATACGTTTTAGGAAACTTCTTTAGACTTGCAAGTTGCAGGCACGAGGAAAGCAGGGGACGACCAAAGCTGAGCCACCATTCATTGCAAGTTTCCCATTTGCAAGACGTGTTTGTGTATTTTAAGTGAAAAACTAAAAAAAAAAAATAATAGGCCAATTGGATGTATTTGTCTTTTTCGGAGTAAACCCGTTAATAAATGAATCGAGATCGAGTTTCATTCGTTTGTTCGAACCTTGGTTTGTGTTTAGCCCCAACATGTTTGACTCGAGTTAGACTCGTTAATGAGGTAACGAGCTCTACTCAGTTTTGGCTCATCAATCAGCTCACAAGCTCGACTTTAACTCAATTCATTTGCCATTCTAATTAGCTGAACCCTTACACTAAACTCTAAAATAATTTATAAATTAAAAATACCCTATTATTTGTATGTCATGTATGATTAGAAACTATTCGTGCCCAGTAACTATGCGCCTCGAACCTTCGCACGTTGCCCTCGGACGCGCCTTCCCCTGCACACAACACGACTAACTTGAGCCCGAGGCAGGGCTCGTTAGCACTCCAACGCCCAAGTCAGCTACAGTTTCTAGAGAGAGAAGTGAATAGTAATTCTAGAGAGAAGTTCTAACCTGAGTAAATGAGGTTCACCAACCCAACTATATATACTCGGAGCTCGGCCGACCAACATCCTTCTCTCCCGCCCTTCGCCAGGCCTGCATTTAATGTGCCGTACGGCTGAGTACTATGCGCCTCGACCATCTGACTCTCTGCTCAGCAGATCGAGGCGCATGATGTCAGCTGGTCCCCAACCCGTACCTTTGGATCCCCTGCGGTTCTCTGTCGCACGCACCCCATGTCAGAGCCGTGGCCCCACCCGTCTGGGAAGGCCTCCTTCAGTCCATGGGCCAACTTTCTCCATGCCATTGGGCCCGCTGGGCCAGGCTCGACTCTGTAGCCTACCAGCCCCTTTTATTGGGCCATGCAAGCCCAGCCTACGTGGGCCATGTATGCATCCCCAACAATTGCCCCCCCAGTCAGGCGCCTGAGGCCTCTTCCTAGGCGCCTGACTGGATTCTCGTGCCCTGCGAGATTGACCTTTTATCGGACGCCCTATCGAGTGCGCCTGCCCTCTCAAGTGCGCCTGCCCTGATTACGCGGCGCCTTGTTTGCTTACTTCGCGCTTTGCCCCCAGCCTTCAATCCTTACGACTTATTGTCCCCCTCTCCTGCTGCCGTCTCTTCGGCTTCCCCCTTTTGAATGTCACCGAGAATGCCCTTGGGATTTGCCCCCTTCCCTTTGAGACCTTTGGACTTCTCCCCTATCCCATTGTGTGACCCTTGGGTTCCCCCCTCTCTGTGAGACTCTTGAGCTTCCCCCTATCTCCCCCTAGCCCGTTTCGAATTTTGAATTTCAAAATTCAGAATTCGAACGGGATAACACCCTCTCTCTTCGCTTCCCCCTCCACTATATATTCTTCTCTCCTCCCTCACTTTTCACTCACTTTCCTCCCAACGCTCTGACCTCTCTCTTCTTTCTCTCACTAGAAACGGTCACTTGCCCCCGCCGCGCCTTCCCTTGCTGTCCCTTGACCCCCGTCTGCCTACGCCCCCGATGGCTTCCTCTCAGCAACCCGCTCCTGCGCGCTCGGCGCCTTCCTCTGGTGCCCCCGCTCTCGCGCGCTCGGGCGCCCCTACCTCTTCTGGCGCCGCGACTCACGGTACGACTTCTGCCCACTTACTCGTTTTTTTTTTTTAGGGCTAGGGTCAGGCGCCTTTGTCTTTTGCCATCCGCTTTCCCCCCTCTCGTCTCGTGCCTGAATGCTATGCGCCCTACGCCTGCTATCCCCCCTTTTAAGCGCTTCACATAATCTATTCCCCCTCGTATTCTTCTCCTAACCTGTCTTTGCCCCTTGCCCCAGGCCCTGACGCATCGCAAAGTTATGCGTTTCGTTCGTGGGAGTCTACTTGGGCCTCGGGGCAAGCGCCTGACGACGTGGCTGGTTTGCCCTTGGAATCGGCGGGCCCGAAGCACCCTTCTAAACTGGTGCGTGTGCACCTCGAGAAGCTGCTGGTGGCCGCTCAGATGCCTGCGCCTTGGAGATATGTCCATGCGCCTCGGGTGGCAAGAATAGGCGTTTGCGGCGATGGCTGGGTAGGGATATATCAAGAGTTCCTGAGGTTCGGCCTACGCTTTCCCCTCGACCCAGTTCTCGAAGGGGTCCTCGACTCTTGCCAATGTTCACTGGGGCGCCTCTCTCCAGCCGTTGTACTGTATTCCATCCTTTTCCGCCATAAGTGTCAACGATTGGGCATCGAGCCCACGTTCAAACTCTTTAACTACTTCTTTAGGATGACGCGGAGCAACAACTACCTCATCCTTCACAAGCGTAAGAAGCTAGGGTACCACTTCATTAAGGGTTGCCAAAAGATGGGGAGCACATGGTTTGATTCGTACTTCTTCGCTTGTCCCCGTGAAAAGCCTTTCTTTGGAAGTGGGCGCCCCGCCGTGACGGAGTGGTCACTAGGGACCCCTTTTTACTTTAATAAGCCCGCGGCGCTGAACAAGTCCGAGTTGGCCAGTGCTGGTCTTTCTTTGGCATGCGTCTCCATTTTTTTTTTTTAGAGCGTCCCTTACTGACTTGCTAATTATTGCCTTCTCCCCATTTTCTTGCAGGTACTGATTATACCTCGGTGACCTCCGTATCAAGTCCAAAAGGAAGGCCGTTGCTTCTTCCTCTGCATCGGGCGCTTCAGACGAGGCGCGCGGTGACTCCCCGCAGGGGGGTTCAGGCGCTGGTAAACGTAGTCCTCGACCAAGCCCAACTGTGCTGGAGCGCTCGCGATCTCCAGTGACTCCTGCTTCCCAGTCCACGCCCCATGGGACGAGGGAGGGGGGTTCGCGTCCGTCTCCGCCGCATGCGTCTCGGAAGAGGTCCGGGGACAACCGAGCTCCCCCGGCCAAACGGGTGAAGGCGCCTCAGGCAGATGCGTCGGGGCTGCCCCCAAGCTTTGTGGCTCCCACCATCTGGCCCCACACTGGCGAAGAGATTCCTCCTTATCTCCAACCCCCCAGGCGCCCTCTTACGAAGGTTGCCGTGGGCGTGCCGCTGAAGGCTGCCAAGGAGCTGGGCGCCTCTGTTCAATGGGCGCGTTCTCAGTACGACGTGGTCGAGCACCCTGAAGGCCTGGTGTCCGACAAACCATGGCGCAAAATGACCAACCTCACTGCGCAAGTAAGTTCCCGTCCACGCCTCCCAACCCTTGCTCCGATTTCATAAATTTCCGCTCTTATTTTCTCTAACTCTTTCTAATGCGTCTTGCCCGATTTGCTATTCAGATGATGCTCCTGTGTGAGGCTACCACCCGCGAGGTGGAAAAGATCAAGCGCTAGGGCACGGAGGCCGCCATTGCCGCTACGCGCCTTCAGTCCGAACTAGACGCTGCGGACAAGCAGCGGGTGGAGCTGACTTCGGTGTGCGAGGAGGCGCGCAAGAAGGCCTCTGACTATGCAGCGCAACTGGAGGAGCGGCTGGAAGCAGAGCGCACGAAAGTGCGTCAGGAGGAGCAGGCTAGGCATGCGGAGGTGGAGAAGGCGCTCCGCGAGAGGGAGGTTGCCTTGACGCGGGAGCGCGACGCCTTAAATGCGGAAAGGAATTCCCTCCGTGAGTCCGTGATCGAGTTGGAAGCCGTCGGCAAGAAGCTGAGGAAGACGAGCAGGCGCTACCACCGGGACCTAAAGAAGGCCAGGCGCACCCTAGCTGACTACAAGAACACCACCGCGGGGAAGAACTTGCAGGCGGACGTCGTCATCAGTACGGTGGAGATGCTCAGCAAAAGTTGCTTGCCGACCACCCAGATTGGACCTTCGACGCGCAGGACCTGATGTGTCACATTATCACCGAGATGGAGCGGGCGACTCCGGAGGCTGAGGGTGGGGAGGCGCAGGGTGCTCAAGGAGATGAGGAAGAAGCGCAAGACCTGCAAGACGGGGAGGAAGAAGTGCCGGACGCACAAGGCACTGAGGCCCAGGAGGAGGCAGGCGAGAGGGTTGACCTCAGCGGGAGCGACGCTTCTGATTCAGGAGATGAAGGCGCAGGCGGCGGTGGAGGCAGCGGGGAGGAGGTCGAAGTCGAGGAGGTTGAAGTCGAGGGGTGATAGCCCAGGAGGAGGCAAAGCGTTTTTTCCTTTCGTTGCACTTTTCCGACTGTTTTTCATCGTCACCATTTACTTTTTCTGGATGTTTTGAACCGTGTTGGGACATGTTCTTCTTAACGTTTATCGGTGGTAATTTGGGTCTCCTGTCTCTTTTAATTGCATATTTGTGCGCCTTTCATTGGGCGCGAGAATTGCCAGTGCGCTTTATCTTGAGGGCGCGAAGTTCTGGGCGCTTTACTTTGCCTTGAGTTGGGTTTTCCAATACGAGGCATCGAATTTGCCGATACAACACCTTAGGGCGCAGAAATTATGGGCGCTTTGTCTTAAGGGCGCAAAGTTCTGGGCGCTTTACTTTTCCTTTATCGCGATTTTCAATGATTTCCTTTTTGCGTGTAACCCCTAGCTTTACTCGGGTACTTAGACGGCGTTTGGACATGCTTTTCCTAACTCTTGTTGATGACCGTTTAAGATGATGTTTCTTTTAATTGCGAACTTGCTGTGACTTTTACTTGGGCGCGAAATTCTGGGCGCTTTACTTGAGGGCGCAAGATTTTGGGCGCTTTACTGTAAACAACCGTCGGCCATTCTCTTAGCCTGCCTAGGGGCGCGAAATTCTGGGCGCTTTACTGTAAACGAAGCACCAACCTTCCCATTCTGTGAATTTAGGAGGGCGCAACCAAACCAGAGCGCTTTAG